CAATGTTTCTACTACTACACGAAAAGGGTAATAATGTTCCTATTTAAAACGTGTCACGATTACAATTACTAATAATCAAATAATAAAAACAATGTTTCAGTCTCACGAAAAGGGGTAATAATGTTTCTATTTAAAACGTGTCACGATTACAATTACTAATAATTAAATAATAAAAACATGTTTCACTCTCACGAAAAGGGGTAATAATGTTTCTATTTAAAACATGTCACGATTACAATTACTAATAGTTAAATAGCCAATTAGACGATTTATTTATGTACGTTGTTTGAATAGGATAAACACAAATACGATATTCAATAAAGATTACAGTCTTCACAATATTTTGCAATCGCTTACCGTACTCACTAAACAATAAACCTATCAGAGACATTTCTAACCCTTTTTTTCGGATATTTCATTGATTCTGTGAATTAATTACAAGATCATTCAATGTTATCTCTGGTTTGGTATTGTTTTAAAGTAAAGATACCTCTCTCCATTAAGTAAAATCAGTATTATGATGATAATAATTTCTGAAAGATTGATAATATGATGATAACATATGGAACCAAAGCTGTGTTTACTGTTTTCTTGCTTCCAACACACATACAACTCATCATGAATAGATATCTAGTCAATGATTACATTAGAATTTCTTGATAATTCTTGCTTGAATGTATTCACTTGGTAACAAAACATACATTCTTGTGCAACATTTTACGTGCTTTTTTATTCCCTCTCTTTAATTATTTTGCTTTCACAGACAAAAATCCAATTTTATTTACAAAGTCAGAAGACTTCACCATATGTTAATATGATGAATCTTATTTACGACCAATGATACTTAGGACTATAGAGCAGTTTCCCAAAACTCAATACATGATACTTGACGAACAATACTAATGTTTTAAAAATTATAAAACAGAGAAATATTTAAAGCTTTCGTTGTTGTTTTTTGTACTTATAACTACATACTACTAGTTTGTTTGTTTCTTTTGAATTTCGCGCAAAGCTACACGAGGGATATCTACGCTAGCCGTCCCTAAGACTAGAGAAAAAGGAGCTAGTCATCACCACCCACCGCCAATTCTTGGGTGACATTATAACGAGCCCACGGGTGAAAGGGCGAGCATGTTTGGTGGGACGGGGATTCGAACCCGCAGATTGCGAGTTGAACTCCCAAACCACCTGGGAGATAGTATTAGGATTGCGGTCGATCGAACCAGCGAAAGTATCCAAATGACGAATCGTTCCATTCTAAATATTATAAGCAAAATCGCTACATTCATTACTGGGTTAATCTTTAGTTCTGGTCTGCGTGGAGGGAGTGTGCTTTGATCAGAAGTTAATGATAATAAATAAGTTGGAGCGTTACTGTAATGCACACTTTTAATATACTCTTTTCAGACTTCACGTGCATAAAAATACAGAGTGGGACTTTTGAAAGACAGTTCTTATTGAGGAGACATAACAAAACTTAACAAAGCTTTTGCATAAAACGGGTTATCAAAGACAGACAACTGGAATATTATATAAAACGCATCTCCTGAAGTTAGCATTTAAACATAGATAATACTTACACTTTTGTATGAAAAACTATACTACTACCTAGAAAGTCAATTAATATTCACTACCACATAAAGAAAACTGGTACTAACCATACCCACACTAATTACGTTATACTAGTGTTAATAATCAACCTAGTACTTTGTTAAAATAGGAGCTTAATTATGCAAAAGATATTAAAGAACACACACTGCTCATGGAGAAGGTTGAGCGCTATACACGTTTGATACTGGAGAGGACAATGTGAACCTAACTTCTACATGTTATGTGCAAAGAAATGTGACTGATATTGGAGTTGAAATATTAACTTTAGGAAACACGTTTTACTTTTCTGTTCCAATGACTTGTTTCGAATAACTTTCCTACTATTATTCAATATTCCTATATTGTTTCATGATATTTTAATTTTATTGCTATTGTATTTCATTAGGGGCAAGCTATAACAGTTAGCAGAGAATAGATGGTATTTTTAATGCCGAAGGTTGTGGCTTTCAACACCCACACAGCTCCTGTAATTCAATTTTAATTTCGATGTGAGACGTTTTTTAAGTTAGATTTTAATTTGATGCTAAGTGTAGATCTAGTGTTGTTCCTCACACACACTGAGATGGATTCTACTGTTCGTATTGTATAGTGACACTACTTTCTTTTTATATTTATTTTTATAACCGATGGAAATAAATGTGAATAAATTTATAAAACTTCAGAATCATTATAATGTTTACGCAGTATATAATAATACAATATACATATTATCTTTATCAATTATTCATTTTATCATCGTACCTATCTGATTAAGGTTAGCAGTATCACTCTGTTGTCAATTTAAAGCAAATCACAGAATTCAAATTGGCCAAGTTGTTCATGAAATACAACTGTACGTCTCTAGTCTCATCTGAATGGCGGCCGTAGAAGTATGATGTGGACAGAATTATGTACTGGTGGACGTAACGACCTCTACATCCTGCGGAATGGCATCATTAATTCCGAACAATATAGGAACCACATTCTTACCCTTTGCGCTGTCACACATACGCTTGTACAATTGGCCTAATGAATGGTATTGCCTGTCAGCGATGAGCTGAACTGGGCGACACATCCCTTGGAGAAGGGATGATAGACTGAACAGAATGCTAACAGGCATTAATTCTTTGGGACCTGCGCATCCCGTCAAGTAACTTAGACTAGTGCTGAGGGATTAATTGAAATTTCGATTCTATTAGTATGTAAAAAACGAGTGCCGTTTGTGTGTTCACTCTCAGAGAAGCGCCCAGAACCTCTGCTCTCGTCCCACATGTACACCCAGAACCATTGCTCTCGTCCCACATGTACACTTAGAACCACTGCTCTCGTCCGGCATGTACAGGGCTTAAACAAAAACAGAGAGAGAAATAAAGCATTCTCTTTCTTTTCAGTGTTAAGTGTGCACTATAACCAAGAATATTAAATAATAACATTGTTTCTGTGAACTATCCTAAGGTATTATATGTTCAGTTGTCTTTATTCCACGCAACATCAGCAGGTTTGGTTAGTTTATTTCAATGTATAAGAAAACAAATGTGAGTACTTGCATTTCAGGTACTCTGAGATTTGTAGTTCTGAGGAAGCCTTGTAGCCATGTAAGCAAGGAGACATGCTTTCCAGATTAAAACACAGCTCCCAGAATGCATATCAAATGGTTTAATAAAAGTTGTTATCCGTTAGAAAAAATGTGACGATACTTTCACAAGCGCAGCAGAGCATCAGCTTTAGTAACAAAATAAAGAAAAAAGAGAACTTGTCAATCAGTAATACAAGATGAGTGAGTATTGAAATACAAACTATACACACAGCGTTTCATATTTGTAATGCTTATCCGAAGCCAAAATAACTTATTAATAAAACAAATATCGGTTTCAGATTGCCATTCTTTCTTGTATGACGTCTCACATTATTCATTGAGTTAACTTACACCACATTGTTTATTATTAGTCGTGGTATGGCGGTTCATAGAATGGCTCCGAGGTTTTTCAAGTGCAAGCTTTTATCTCATAGCTCCGTCATCTCTTGACCGATTCGAGACCTAATTACAATTTTGAATTCAGGATGATGTGTTTGACCACGCCCAAGGTCTCCTAAATTAATTTACTCTAATCATGCCTAAAAGAATTTCAATTTCAGGGTAGACAGGTAGAGATCTTGATGAGTAACAAGTCGAATCGGGTATACGCGCACCCCACGCTTGATATTGCTGGCGCACAAAAATATAGCCAATAAAAAGGGGAAAGAAAGGACTCTTACATTAAGTTACTCTAATCCTGAATAACAGAATTTCAAGTGCGGGGCCTTTAGATGATTCTCTCTTGTTATTTTTATCAATTTTTGTCTTTTTTTCTTTCAAAAATTATATAATTAGATAATCGTATTCAAAATTATTTATATATCGAATCGAACTGCAAAAGTGATAATCAATCAGTACAACTTCAACTATTAAAAATGCCTTGGAAAGAGCTCTTGTGTGTTAATTGTAAGTTTTCCTGTGCGTATTTTCCTATTACTTCAGAACACTAAAACATTTGACATTAACTATCAGTTTGCCTTCCTTTATCCAGTAAAATAATATATATATCATAATCTATCAAACAGTACCATAAGAACATTCTTTTAATGTTTAAAAATAGCAACTACATAATGATATATATTTTATGAACATAAATTTAACAATTAGGAAAACTCCATGACATCACTTACCACGTACATTAAATTACATTTGTGTGAACGAGTCCCCTATTCGTGTATTCACTCAAAATCAAAAGCCACTTTTTATTTGTAAATCTCGTCACTTTGACAATAATACGTACCAGACTCTCTTAAAGTATGGCGCAAGACTAATCAACATCATCATCTAGCTTGTTACTTGTTTCAAGGATCTGATGTAAAATAAAATACTTTCCAACACACTTTACACCAAAGTAAAACACATGATGTTATCTAACAACCGTTGGCCCAAACATTCCTTGTTTCGTTTACTAGGAAAGGCTTAATTAATCGCATTACACCGTATCTTATTTCTACAATAAGATGATAAAAAGTCCGCTTGACACAACCGACTTTTAAGTTCCTAGTTTTAGTTCATCATAACTACTTTCTTCAGCTTTTACTTCTTGAACCATTATTTGTCTTGACAAGTTTTTGCTCTTCAATTGTGATACATCACCTTTTTGTTTTTAAAGCTAAACTATTAACCAATACGCGGGTATTTATTGAGCTTTGATACTATTCATTTTAAGTCCTGCTATTATCTTGCTCTAGTGTTAAATACTTTCTTGTTTATGATGAATAAACAACACTATTAACTTACTCGCGGGTATATACTAAACTTTTAAAGTCTTTCCGACACCATAAAACTGTCTCTTCCTTTCCTCTGCCTATATACAGTATACCACCCATCTAGTTTTGGATATTTACTACAGATACCGTCACTGCTCCTAACAGAACCCAAACTTTAAATAAGTAATATTACAAATGCCTTTTTTTTACTAAATTCATCTTCTGAAAATTGTTCTGCAATATAAACCGCAGTGGAAAACAATATATTGTTTATCTTCCCGTGAAACCTATTTACCCTTAAAATTAAAAATCATAGTCTTGGAAGTATCAAAATTAACAAAGTTGTTTCAAACCTGTTATTTTAAAGTACGACTAACAAATATTTCGAAATCTGCATTTCTAACTGTTATATCTTTATTTTTTCGTGATAAAATTATTAAGGCGCAAACAGATTATGAGCATGAATTCTGGGAAATGTGGAACATATTATAACGCCTATACAAGCTACATCACCCAAGTTATTTATATGTGTTTACACTCGAAAGGTAATTTGAGTTGTTCCCCTCATTATTTTTACATGAACTAAAAGTATGTTTGTCTCAATAATTTGCTTGTTACTGATATAGGCACGAAATATAAATATATTTTGCATGTTGTATTAATTAAATTTCAGTTTCACGTCGTAATTGTTTCGCTGCATACCCACGGACACTGAACTATATGCCAATATATTTTTATATATATAAATAAATATCTTCCATATCTAATACTTTCATTTCGAACTGTTTCGCATCATACGTAACCTAATGCTTTTGACCCACAAAACTTCATTTTCTTTCTTATGATATGTAATCATTTTATGTTTGATGTTTGTTTGAAGTTATGCACAAAGCTACACAATAGGCTATCTGTGCTCTGCCCACCACGGGTATCGAACCCCCGTTTCTAGCGTTGTAAGTCCGCAGAAATACCGCTGTGCCACTGGAGGGCATCATTTTATGACTTATGGGACAATAATATGAAGGGGAGAGGCAACATTCCACATTATCTTACGTACTACCTTTGGATTTCCTAATTACAAGTATATACATATTTATTTACTCAACCTTACATATTGAAATTTTCTTCAACAAGCCCAAAAGATGGGCTTCCAGTGTTGCTACTAATTTATAATTTAATCAATCATAATTCGCTCCAGCTACTGTTTCATATATTCTAATACTTGTTTTTATATTACAAAAAGGGTTCGTAAACGTCCTGATAAAATCAGGAATTCCTGGTAACTGTAAAAATAAATAAATAAATTCAGCCCTGGAAATCGTGGAAAAAAATGTTAACGGCACTGAAAAATCCTAGGATTTATGTGTAAAAAAATATAAAATAACTATAAATTACTAAACTGCATTTAAATCAATGTTTTGCTTTTGAGGTGACGTCATTTCTGATATTGGATTAGTAATACAATTTATATGATTTGTTTATCTTCGGATTGATGCCCTTAGATTCAGTCGCTAATAGCAGTCTCGACATGATTTTGGTTGTTTTACAAGTATAACCGAGAATCCGTGATGCATATTGCTTGTGTTTTTAAGCATTAACATTACATATTTCTATCAAAAATTTTGAAATTCGTATTGGCGATTTTTGCATTTATCTAAAACGAAAGATGCATGTTTTAATTTCGAATGCTAAATTTTTAAACTCGATAGAGCATAACTGGCTCGCAGGGCAAGGTTTTGTCTCTACACGATAAACTATCTCTCATTTCAGATATGGGCGAGTCTACTTTTATAAGCCATCTGAATGGTGGGAACACCACGATTTCTCTAAAAAGAATAAATTATGCAAATATTCCTGATAGCACTGGTTTAAAGTTGAATGCTAAAGTCAGACAAGCGTCAAGTGATGGTTCGTCTGTCTGATCCACAGTAACTCAGTTTGTGTATATCCATAGCAGTATAAGACATTGAAAGCAAGGTTTAATGGTTTTTCAAAAGAGTAAAGGTCATTACTCTTACACGTCTAGTGAAGGAATAAACCAGTTATTTGAAGCAGTTTCCAGACAGCCACGTAGTTAAAAAAACAAAAAATACTTCAATTTAGAAAGAGGAAAAAGCTTACTCAGAATTCTTTGCGTTAGTACGACACTCCAAACATCTTTTTACTTCAGAGAGTCAAAAACAATAATATGTGCCCAAGTTTGATGGTAGTGAACTCATCCACAAATAGAAAACAGATGGTGTGCAAAGAAAGATGACAGTGTTTGTTAAACTACATAAAATATTTTTACACGCTTATTATCTACACAAGACTGAAGATGAACATGTGTGATGAGGAACTTCAACAATTTAAAAAACGCACTAACATTTCTGAATCATATGTAGTCTGACTTTTGACCTTTAAAACCAAATATGGTTTAATTTGTTATGTATTTGTATCTTGTATTTATGGTAAAGCTACTACCCCTTATTTTTAACTATAGACCACAAAAAAGGTAGCCAGTTCATAGCACCATACCACCCACCACTAGGCTAAGGGACTGACTGCCATTCTTATAACTCAGAGGAATTTTGTGTGGTATCACCTAAGTTCAATCCCAGTGTGCCAGCTCCAAAATTCACAGCTCTATCACTGAACCAACCCATTTCATTAATGGCTGTCTTGAAAGTACAATCACTGTATTGAATCTTTGTTCATATACATAATTTTGATTTTAGGTCAGCTCAGTGTCTGTTAAGGTATACAACATGCAGCATTTGATATACATCACTCTTGAATAAATTTTTGTATCTTTTTTATTACTAAACCTTTCTGTTATTCTCACCAATAAATAAA